CAGTAGTAACAAACTAAAATAAATCTTTGTGCTGTGGTGGTGAATTGTCCCTTTCCCTAGAAGTTTTGCAGAAGTTAAGAAGGGTCTAAGTAAACTGTGTCAGAGTGAAGATAATTCTAATTGTATTAGCATGACTTTTCAGTCCTTTGTTTCCTTTGGAGCATGTTTGGAAAATGGCTCCATGTGTTATGTGTGTGTGTGTGTGTAATATGCATTTTCAAGGGTATTTCCCATATTAGTATATTTCTTGTTTTCAGTTTCAGGGCTGGAGAGCAAAGGAAATGTCTATACCACAGTGAGCACTGTGCAGTTTAGAAAGAATGTTTGTTTGGTCTGTTAAGAAAGAGCTTAAATTAACCTTGGCTGTGTTTCTAAATGTGTGTATGAGCCTTTTGCTGTTAAAAATAAATGAGCTTGTGATGGTGGAGGGTCTCCAGGGAGGTCTACAAGTACCAGGAATGGCCAGTACTGCTTATATTCTCTTTTGCTAATTACAGTAGCATAGAAATAATAACGAATGCTGTGGCAGTGGGTTTTTTACAGCTTGTTTTCACACCTGGGGATGTAGGGTGCTCTGTGATGGCTTGACATTTGACTTGCCTCATTAACTTCCTGCGTTTTAGGGGATCAGATTTTGCTAGCTTAGACTCCAGGTCATGTTAAAATCTGATCCAGGGGGCATTAGCAGTGTTGAGTAGCCATCTGCCCACTGTCCTCCCACAGAGGGGACCCTCTGTTCCAGCAGAGCCCACTCTTCAAATACTTTTTTCCCCCTCTCAGCCATGGCCTTTGCAGACAACTTTGCTGACACTTGTATGAGATGAATGCAGGAGTGGCTGCTCTGCCAACAATCACAAGTTCAACTATAATTTGCCACTAAAATATGGGAGTAACAAATACCCCGTGCTCGTTGACAGTGTTTTGAATGTTTAATGTTTAATTGCCAGACTGCAGAATCCTGTGTCAGTGGCCTTAAAGCTTCCTTTGTTTGTGTGAGCACCGGTTGAACAATGCTCTCTGGAGAACAGAGGTCTCATGTTCTCTGTAGCTGCCCCTGCAGAAGGCTGTGACTCAGTGGAGGGTCAGTGGAGGATAGTCTCATGGCTGGAAGCTCTGGTCTCAGTGCTGTTCCACAGAAATAACCAGTGCTGAGCATGGAGAAGTTGGCAGCGATGAGTGGGATCTATGTGTGGGATGTTCTAGCTATGGTGTGCTGGATAAGTGCAGATGGCAGAGTTGTCTTACTTTCTTGTCATCTTTCCCCAGGGCCTCAGAGGAGATAGCTGGATTAATGCTGAGGTAGTGTTTGGTTGCTGTCTACCTCAGGAGCTGTCGTAGAGCAAGGTGTAACCGGTACTGCTGCACAGGTGCAGGTTGCAGATATTTGTTCAGGGTCAATTTAAATTTAGGCCTGATTAATTTGGACTAAGGGACTATAATCCACCCTGCCTCCTGTTAAACAGGGAACACTGTAAAGCATTAGAACTGTGCAAAATGCTTGCCAAATGTATGGAAAGAAGCATTTTTCCCAGAAAAGAAGGTTTGTAATTCCTCATAAGGAATAATTGTACTTGGCTGTCTACCAGTAAGCATCCCCCATATGTAGATGAGCTGTTTGTGAATCATGTGGGTTATCAAGTAATCTTTGTAGGTAAGGAAGGTTTGGTCCTCCCGTTCTTCAAAAATCCCACAGCTGCTCTGTTTTAGGGAGATTCTGAGCAGTTCATGGGTATAGTGTTAGTTAGAAGTCATGTTCAGGATAGTTAGAAGTCATACAAAAAATAGGAGGTTTGGTGTTCTAATGGTGGAATCAAAGTCATTCCTCCAAGGAAGATAGCACATATGTTTGGGCTGTGTTTGTGTGCCATATGATGCAGCTTCTTGTCTTGAATTCCTTGTTCTTGTCTGACTTCTTACTCTGCTTTAGCATAAGATGAGGCTGTTCATAGGTTCCCCCCACCCCTTGCCATATTAAATATGCATCAACACTTGTATGTACAGTACTGCAGCTTGAGAGTGTACTTTGCATTTATGGCTGCTAAAATTCTGTGCAGGATTTCCAGTCCGTCTGGACCACCAGTGTGTGTGACACTGTGCTCCTGTTCATCATGCCAGACATCTGACACTTGTGTTGTGAGCTGACCTTTAGGAATGGGACATGTCTTCCTCCTTTTAGCAGGATGGTGTAAAAGAAGTGAGAATTCAACCTGCACACATTATATCCTTGTGGGATATCAGGGAACTTTACAACCTGAACTTCAAAACTATAGAACAGTCTTCCCTGGAGAGAGAGGAATGGAGGAAGTCTCTGGTTAGACTAAACAATCTTATCTAGGCCTCAAGTGTATCTCATATTGCTGCTTAGTAGAGCTGAAGATATGTGTTTGCTGATGTAAATGCTTTGGAGAGCCCTAGTAGTTCAGTGTGGAGTAGGTACTGCTTGGTACTGCTGAAATAACTTGTGCAGTGCTGTTAAATTGCAAACACAGGTACAACAGTGCACTTAAGCTTTACTCTGTAGAAGTGAATTTTAAGCAGGAGCTAGTGGGAGAGTTCAGATACACAACCTGTGCTGAAGAATGTGTGAGGGTGTTAGTGAGTAGCTCTAGCTTTTAAATAGTCATTAAATAGTACAGCTATCTAACTGTGCATCATTCATCATTGCTAGGAGGAGAGTAAATGGAACAGACTGAGGTATACAGAACTGTTTTTATACTTTGAAAGCAAGGGACAGTGATTGGCAGACAATATTTGATGGAGTGTATTTATGTGAAGTGCCAGGTGGATGCCAGGTTCGTTTCTGTGCTGTCACTGAAGATACAATTCTACAGTGCCACATAGTGAAATGTCACTTTTTCCATGCACAGACTAAGAAGGTGTTTTGTAAAGCCCTAAAATAAGCAAAACCCAAACAATCAAACCTAATACTAGTACCAGCTCTGAAACAGTGAATTTTAGCTGCCTAGAACTCTTACAGGTTTTTTTGAGTTGGATCATCTTAAAAGGAGTATTTGCTTAAAAAAAACCCCCTTATATAGTGCTACACTATTTTAATTAGTGCTGTTTCTTTGTGATGTGGATTTGGTATGCAGCTGGATGAAAGATGTTAAATTGTCAGTTTACCAAGGAATTCAAACATTTTGAGAGAAGAGATGAATTTGCTGATAGTTGATTAAACTCTCTTGAAACTTCTCTCACAAATCTTAATAAAACTTCTGCCTTCTTGGCAAGGTGCTGAACTTTGGAGTCTGTGTCAGCTGCTCAGATGTGAAAAATTTGCTTAAGCAAATAGGATTCTGTAAAATTAATTTTCCTATGCCAGTAAGTTTGTATATGACTTCTGTTTTAAGGTACTCAAAATACAATTTTTCATCCAAGCAATTCCAACAATGATTCTCTCAAATTTGTTTTGTAATGACAAAATGACTAAAAAATTAGACTAAAATGTTACTGCTTAGTGTTTTAACCAGTATTCAACTTGCAACTAAAAATGTGGAGGTTTTTTTAACACAGGATTGGAATTGCCTTTTTACAGGCATAGTGTGAACTTAGATGTCAAGGTGAATTTCCAAGTGAAATGCACAACGATGTTTTTCCCATTAGACTTACTCAGAAAACTTGAGTGCTAAAAAGTTTGGGTAAAACTTGAGTATAACGTGTTAATATTTGGAACATCAGATTTTTTTCATAGGCTGTTTTGATGGATAACAGATTAATTTATAGTTAGCATCCCTGGAATTATTATGGAGTTGAAAGAAAACCATTAGATGTCAGTGATTTCTGTTTCTATTCTTAAAATCAATCTGAACTAAATTTAGACTCAAAGTGTAGGAGCAAATATAAGCAATAAAGCTATCAGCTGTTTTGTTAGCAGTCTGTTAGGTCTGTATGACATCCCTGGAAGGTGGTTTTTTATTGTTTGATGTCTCATAGGTGATGTATAGTCATGTTTAAGGTGGTATTTCAGACATCCAGGCTTGATCAACTCGAGTGTCAAACTAGCCCTGTTGTATTGCCTGAGCATCTCCACTGTTTGGCATATGTAGGATGTAATGTTCTGTATCCATTGAGCAAAGCACAGCTTGGTTTTAATCCTAAGCATTTCCTGGCAAAAGCAGTGGTTAGCATGTATTTAAAGAAAGGACTGGAAAATAAAGCTTTTCCTTACCATGGTGCTGTTGCTCAGCAGGTTTTTTCTCTGTGCTTGCAGGTTTTGACTGAACTGGGTTTGCCAATGTCAGGCTGTGGCAGCAGGAGTGCCTGGTGTTTCTGGTAGCTCTGCTGCAGCACTCTGGTGTGGATGGGATTCTGGTTAACCCATCCTGGCCTGAGGCAGAGCTGCTGAAGCTTTGGGCTGTGGTGTTAGCAGTGGTATCTCCCCCGAGAGCGTGCTAGAAACAGTGTCTTTTTGCTTTGGTTGTGGTTACTTGTGTAGTGCTCAGGAGGAGGAGTCAGACCTGTGGGTGAAGGGGCAAAAGGTAACTAGACAAAGATGCTGGGAGGAAAGAGGAAATGTAGGTTAAAGTAAGAGAGGAAGACTCTGAGCTGGGGAGTTTAGCTTGAAGAAATCTAGTGATGGGTAGAAGTTGTAGTAAGAAGTGTTTGAAGTGAGGGAGGAGTTGGAGGGAAAGAAAACTACAACAGCAGGCTCAAGATTGAGAGATGTAGGGTAGAGGCAAGCGTGAGCGAGTTTGGGGAAGTAGATTAGAATTTAAAAACCCTCTAATTATGCGTTTGTAAATTTGCAGAGAAAGTGTCAGAATGAGTTTGCGTGTCCTGTTGTAGTTATTGTCTCCCGAAGTTCAGTTATGCCTTTGTATGCTGAATGTTGCTTTGAGGAGAGTTTGCACAGCCTTCAGTTGTGTGGCAGTACCAAAAATGAGGGTGTGTTAGAGATGCCTCCTGAATTGAAAACTGACTTGTAGCTGTAGTGTTCAAAGCGATTGCATGATGGGCAGTTTCCTGAGTACTAAACATTTCTTGCTTCTTTTAGGCGGGGCTTGAATCCACCCCACAGAGTGAAGTCGATTTCAATGACTACTTTCACACAACAGGAAATAGAATTTCTGCAGAAACATGGAAACGAAGTAAGTATCATTTGGAGAATTAAGTGAGTTTGCCACCTTAATATTTAAGTCTAAAACACTAGTTAAGGAAAACGTTGTTTATGTGCTTTTTAGCAAAAACTAGGCAGAAGCCAACATTATTTGAAGTGATGTTTCTGAAGAGCTTGTTTCACTTGGGTAGCTGATCATCAGCATGTTGTGTGGTGTTGGCCAACCCAGTCAATCCAGAGTCACACTATCAGTACTTCTGAATTGAGTTTTCTTTTGCATAAGGCAGTATGCAGCTCTTTTTTTAAATTTTTTTTGCAAGTTCAGAACTTGAGAGTGACTGGAGCTGTTTCCTGAAGGAGTGTACAGTGACAAAAATGAAAACAGAAGTACAGCTTGTGGCTCTGTTTCTTCACAGTAGGTGTCAGAAAATCTAATAGTGGTTTTAATAGCCTCTCAGTAAAAGTGTATCGCTGTTGAAGGTTCTTGAAGAGAGGAAGGAAAGAGAGAATTTTTTTCTCTAAGGATTGTTATCTACTGAATAGCTTGTGGCAGCCTCGAAGACAAGAAGTCCTAGTGTCCTGACTTTGTGCTTTTTTAACAGAAGAAAAGAAGCCAAGGTAAGTGTTGGATTGGCTCTGTGGGAGCCCATGGAGCATGTAACCCTGGATGTGATTATTGCTGTCTTCAGTTTGAGGGTTTGTTTGTATTTGAATACCATACTGTAGCATTGGGAATTTTAGAGGCAGATTTTGCGAAGTTTGTATTTGAATACCATACTGTATCATTGGGAATTTTAGAGGCAGATTTTGCCTCGGTTCAAATTGGATAAAGTTCTAGTCAATGCTGGTTGCATCTGTATTCTGGTTTAGTAGAACTATTGATTGTAGGCTAGAGAGTGTCTTAGCAGCGTGTTCTTGTGAGGCTTTGTGGGGATAAATCCCATCATTTGCTAAAATGCTGACACTTAACTTTCTTCAACTTGGCCCATTCATAACTGTCAGGTCGAAGAATGAAAATAGAAGTAGCAATTTCTTTTTATGCCCTAGTAAATATGCTTTATTTGTTGAAATGACTGTTAGTGAATGATTCCTCTTAGGCAGAGCTGGAACATGGTCTAAACTCTTCCAGACATTATAAAATACACTTGATAGCTTAGGTGGTTTTGGTTTTTTAAAGCTGTATAGCATTGAATGTATATACGTATAGCATAGACTTTTTGTGTAGGGTAAATAACAAACAGTCTTCCATGGGTTGGGATAGAATATGTTGGGGTTGCTTTCCCTAAGATTAGTTTGTAAACTCCAGCTATGCTTTATGCTTTACATGTGTAAAGGAAAACATGTGTGAGTGTGTGTGTACCTCCCTCCCTGCCTTTGTTTTAGTTTCAGTTTTTTACTGAATCTGCAGTGTCTAGAGAGTGCTGTGAGATTGATTTTTCCCTCTTCTGGAACCTTAAGTGATCCCTACCCAGTTGATTAGTATGGTTGTCCTTCTCTTTATAGACCTGACTAGTCTGCCAATCAATGATTTCATTGACAGATAATTAGTTATTGACATAAAGAAGTTCACAGATCCCTGCAGTGCTATGCTGTTTCAAAAGCAAGGGGCTTTGCACTTGTACTACTCTAACTAAAGTGTTGCAATGGTTTAAATGAGCTGCCTCATAAGTGAAGATGACCTCCTGGGTTCAGTTTTGGGTTGTTGGATTGGTGCATTGCCCTAATTCTAAAGGAAGACTGAATAGACGTAACTGCAGATGGTAGATTTAACACCTGCTCAGATACTGAAGGGAAATGATTATTGTTTCAAACACTGTTAGAAGTTTAAAACCTAATTACATGTTTTCACTTTGTGCTTTATATTGCAGTTAGTTAAATAAGCATTTTGCTTTCTCTTGTTGGTATTGGACTTTGGAATACTTGGCTGCAGATAAGATAAAGTATTGGACAGATGAAATTTGTTTGACCTCACCAAAATAACCTTCTTTGCTTTGCTGTTCAGTGTAGGAGGCTCTTGTGTCTATATGAAGAAATGAAATTTCCTAGGAGAAGACTTGTCAAAAATGGAGTTGTCCAACATTTTGGAATATGTGTGCGTGAAACAAAGTACAGTCACTTTTAGTTTAGATGTTGTAACATTTAGTTGTTTTAATTCTACATATAAACCCCAACTTTTTGCAATCTTACATTGTTTAACTATCATTTTTTTTGTAACTTTTTAAAATACTTTAGTTCCCACTTTGTTGTTCTAGTCTTTCAACAACATGTCCAAGGTGCCTGTGGGAAGCTGTCTTACCTCCAGATGAGTAGATCATGGTGTATAATAGGGATCTTGTTCTGAATAGAAAGGAAAATAGCAGGAAAGGTTCCATGATGTAAAGTAGTTATTAAGGTGCTGAGTTGTTCTTAGAGGAAGTAGTTTTCCACTCTCCTTCAAAGAGTATTTATAAGGTCATTGTATGACCTTATAAATGAGGTTGGAGTTCTCTTAAAAAAATAAAATCAAATCAAACCCCCAAACCAAACAAGAACAGGAAAAAAACAACAAACCTCTTCCTAATATCTGCAGAGCTAACTTTCCCCAGTTGCTGTAAAGTACTATCCTTGTGGCACACATGGGTAAAACATTCACTTACTGAAAGACTTCTACAAAGCAGCTGCTTTGGGAAGAAATTCGGAGCAGCTTCTTTTCAGGTGAGGCACCATCTTTTCCCTGTATATGCACATATAGGGAAGGTTCTCTTCATGAAGAGCAGTGTGATGCATTTTCCCATTTTCTTGTTAGGAATAACGAGGAGATGTTTCTGTTTGAGTACTCGTACCCAAGTGCTGCTAACGTCGATTAGGCCTCTGATTCAGTCGTGCAGTGGTAGTAGGAAGTGAACTCGCTGTTTGCAGAAAGTGGAGGTGGTGCTAATCTCATGTTGCCATTATAGCTGTGAATATTTATTCAGAAACTTCTCCCCCAAGCTAAAAAATAGTATTATGAGGCAAACCAGTGGCACAGTTAATTTTTTTCCTGCGCTTTTGAAAAGTGACAGGTACTTTATGACCTTTCCAAATGGCCCATGCTAATATGCTTATGGTTGAAGAAAAAAGATTTTCATGGTCTTGTACTCATAGAAAGCTGTATTGCTCTGGGGGAGTTCACCTGAGCTGATGAGTAGAATGCAGTGCAGGCATGCTTAGCTGCTTAGGGGTGTTTTAATAGTGCTTAATTTCTGTTTTTTGGTGCCAGCCTTCCTGACTTTTAATAGCCTCTGTGCAAGGCCCACTTTTCTGCACTCTTGCTGAACTAGTAGCAGTATGAGACTGGTTCAGAGGTGGTGCCTGGCCTGACCAAGATGCTTTCCTGGAATGTCCTTTACTATGGAATGTGGCCTAGAAACCTTGGAGTGGAAAGAGCAGTACTAAGCTAGAGCTGATGAGTCCTGACAGCATGAGCTGTGCAGTCAGGTGTCCTTGTAGTACATTCCTGGTTCTGCTAATACGATATAGATACATGAGCTGATTGTGTGCAGAACAATGTCTTTGTTAGCAGGATTTACTGGCTTGCCTCTGTGCTTATAAAACAGCTCTAACTTCTGCACCCAAGCTGCCTTTGAAATCAGTATCTGGCAGTATAAAATTCTTTTAACCTACAGAGATAAATGAATAATACTGACATCAGAAGTACAGAGTTACTAAACAAAGCTATAACTTGCTTACATAAAGTGTTTCCAAGTCTTTCTTCCTTTGGGGTGAGTGTTATGTTTTGGAACATAGTTTTGTTGTGTGGTAATTTGCAGTTCTTTGCACTGTCAACATGACATTTGGTGCATAACTGAGGATATTTTATTGGTGGGGAGGGGGAGAAGAAGAAATCTATCTTGGTGTTTGCCAGCCTCCTGAAAGGTAATATGTCATTTGAGCTTTAGACTGATGTGTAATCTTCCTATGTAATGGTGTGTTTGGGTCCCAAGAAGTGATGTAGGTCAAGGAGTGTGTTTTTCCTAGTTGAAATGCAGCTTCTACCAGCAGAACTGTGTGTCCTGGTAGAGTTTTCCTGTCCTTGCTGCCTTCACTGCATGCAAGAGAGGGGAGGCTTCATGAGCAAGAACTTAATTTTGCTGGCCTAACTGAATTTTTATTACCCCTAACTAGCACAGCTCTGCTAACAGGAGTTTGTATCTGGTGGCTCAGTGTGTTGTGTAAGCTGAAGGCCTTTGTCTCTCCCATATCCGCCTTCCCACACAGGCTGGAGATCTCTATCAGTGAAATACTTGTGGCATGGTCAAGTGTTGGTCGGTGTTTGAAATACATGGCTCTGGAATAGAAGTAACTGGAATCTCAGATTCTCAGGGGTTTTGCCAAATTTGATGGATACTGCTGATTCTCTTCTTTATTAGCAGTTTTTTTACTGTGTCTGCCCTTTCCCACTTGGCCAGCTCTGTCAAAACACACAGGAAAAAAATCCCCAAAACATGTCAACAAACCTAGAACCAAAACAGAGGGTGAAGTTATGGAAAACAGGTGCATTTATTTTCCTCAGCTTTTGAGCCCTGCTTGGAACTCCTGAAAACAGGAGATGTTACTGGAGGTTGGGTTTAAACCAGAAGCCTTTCTGGTCAATTTTGTTTTGTGGCTGACCAGATGTGCACTGAATGGGATGTGTTCTTCCTTCCTTTCTGTCAAAGCTGAGAACAGTGGTAGGACTGCAAGTAAGTAAGTAGTGTATGGAAAACAAGATGGGTAAATGGAATTATTCTAGGAAAAACGGTTCTCCTCACGTGGAAAAGCTGTGGAGTGAGGATTCAGGGAAACCAGTGGTGTGAAGAGAAATATAGGTAAAGAATTTATGATAACATACAATATGCACTTGGCCCAATTTCTCCTTTCCATGATATATTTAAGTTACGGCAACTCACAGTTTCTGCCTTGTTACCTCCTGGGTTTTTATCTAGGTCAGGGTGAGTAGGTTGAAGCTGGTTGTGATTCTAAAAAAAAATTACTGATCTAATTCCGAACGTCCCAGTATCTAGTTGCCAAGTGTCTAATGACATCCCTTGCAGGACTGGAGCTTGTTGGCAGAAACAGGTACTGTTCTTCCCAAAGGAGTTGTAAAGACATTCTCATGAACTTCTAAATTCCGTGAAGGCAACTGCTGCATCTTGTTATCTACTTACTGTTACCTGGCAAGATAAAACTTTGCTTTGTCTTGTTCCTTTGCAGCCCTCACGACATAGTAGGGGCAAAACTAAACAAAGTTTTGCTTCTGTCAACCATTCAACAAAAGTAGACTTTCAAATGCTGCATATGCTTAATCATTCTGACTTCAATGCTTCCCTTTTTTTGTTGTTTTTTTTTCCCTGCTGCATTGGTGAACCAGTGGGACATGGACTAATTATACTTTTCAGGGACAGTGGACAATGATTATGGATTGTTGGATATGTTCCACTGTTTCTAGGGGCTTCCACATAACTTGAATGTTTACTCTTGGCTCCAGCTTGTCAGGCTCTTCTCTAAGCAGAGCATTTTGTTTGATAGAGCTCTGGTTATCAAAAGGAGTATAGCAGAGCTTTTGGTGAATGAACAGAGCTTTTGAGCAGAGGCTTATTTGTGCTGCTGTTGCAGAAAGAACAATATTAATATTAAATGGCTGAACCAGAGTATCCCCAAGGAGATGGTGTGATGTCAAAGGATTTCAGAAAGCTGTAGAACTTCTAGGTCCCATACCATAATAGTAGTGTTGTGTAACACTGTGGTGAGCTGGGATGATGCTTCATGTATTATCTGTAAAAGCAAAGGAATGAGTAAGTCTGTTGAAATGGAGCTTGGGCAGTAGCATTTTCTGAATCATCTCTGCAAGGCTTGTTTATGTATGGAGAAGTTAAGAGGTGTTGTTTGCTCTTTGGGATATCACATTCAAATTTGTCAGAGCATACATTTTCAAAATAAGCAAAACTTGAGAACAATTACCTGGGTTTTTTTCCTCAAATAGTGAGTTTGCATTAAAAATCAAGAAGCAAGCTGCATGTTTAGTAGAGCAACGGGTTGCTTAAAGCTTGGGTTTGTGCAGAGTTACATGTCCTTCATTGCCTGCCTTTTTTTGCACTTTCTCCCTGCTCATGTGTCCTGCAAGAGTCAGCACATGCTGGGAATAACTGGGTGCTGATTTGTTCAGGTGTCCTGCCCAGGCAGCTCTCAGGCCAGACAGAATATAGAACCAAAGCTCTAACTAAAGTTGCCAATCTGATATTTCTATATTTCTGCTAAATTTTTTCTTGTCGTAATTCATCTTCTGGTATGTGTCAAGTTCAGATGGTAAATAAGTGGGGAGTAATTAGGGTACCAAATACATAAATGCTGAGTGCTCATTCCCTGCCATAACTCAATAGCAAGTTGTTTGGCATAAATTTCCTTGATCTTCATCACAAGAGTAACTTTTAAATAGCTTTAAAATAAATAAAAAAACCCCTGATCAGTAAACATTTCTCACGACTTTTTTCTTTGCACAAGATTCAAGGACTGTTAGTGACATAATTGAAGACTATGGAAAGATGGCTATTTCAAAACCAGCAATTATATGCTGCCAGTTCTGACAATAGTATTTTTACATTTTATTTTTCAGTTTTGACTTCATCCTGTGACATTGCATAGCAACTGCCAGTTGCTTTTCTGTAGAAAGCTGAAAATTGTATTGTGGCTCACTTGAAGCATAATCAATGCAGTGTTGTGGATCCCTGTCAAGTCAGATGATAGTAACAGAAGTATAGCTAGAAAGAGCATACAGGTCACCAGCAAACAAGGGAGGACAAGGGGCCTTTGATTGTGCTCTGAATGCTCACTTGGAACGGCTGCTGGTGCTCAGAGCATTGTGTGGTACTTCACACAGCAGCAGATGAAACTGCCTTTTAGTGGTGGTTGGTGTGGTGTTAAAGCTTTGTGAGGTTTGGCTTCCCAAAGGACTTAAGACAGAATTGTGTAGGTTGGAAATGACCTTTAAGATCATCGAGTCCAACCTTAGTAGGAAGACAAAATGCCTATTTTTTTTTTTTTTCCCCAGAAGCTTAGTCCTAACTACCCTGATGAGTAGTGATTTATCCTTTGTGTTCCACTCATGGTGTACACCCACTTAGTCTTACGGTTCATTTTCATCATTCCCACTATCCAAATCCAAACTAATCTGTTTTGTTCTGGTTTTGGTTGCCGAGGCTTGTCTGTATTTAAAAACTTTTAAGAAATTGTACTTTCTCTGATAACTGTTTAGGTAAAGAAATTTACATGAAATTGAATTTGCATCTCTGGTCCGGTAAAGCAAATGTTTTATGCTGTGTCTGTGTAGCTCCTGCTGTCAGACTGTTAGAATGTTAACTTCTTGCTGAAGTGTGTGGGACTTAGTAGGTTCTTCTGCATGGTGGTTGTGTGTTGCCCAATAGTAAAACTGTTCTCTCTGCTGCCAGTAACAGAGAGACATAGAGTGCCTGGCAGTTTGTTGTAAAAAATTACAGTAGTGACTGAAGTGTTGCTGCTTTCTGTGGTTAGGTGTTGAGAAGGCATTGGTTCCTCCAGGAAGCACTTTTGGAAACTTGCTTCCTGAAGGTTTGCAGGAGCTGCAATGTGAGAGCTGATGCCTTTAAGAAAATTGCATCACTTTAAACTAACAGGTGTTGGAAACAGCACAGTCCTCCTCCGTACCTGTTTGCATATTCATAGAGCTGTTATCTACTACAGCTCCATAGCTGGTGATGAGCTGAAGTCACACAGGACCTTGTTTTCCGATTCCTTAGCGGTGGTGATCAGGATGGCTTTGAGACTGACACGGAGTTGTGGTTGGGTTGTTTTGTTGGTTTTCTTTTCCCCTCAGTCCAGATGCTTAGGCACTTGAGGGTGAAGATGAAGCAGAAAACTGGGGGAGAGAAAGGTGAAAAACTGAGTTGTGGTTTGACTGTTGCTCTGAGGTTTATCTCCTGCAGGTTTCCGTGGTACTAGTGACATGGTAATTGTGATGAGTTTCTTTGATCTGACTTGTTTTGGTTGGCAGGAGGAGGAGGAGTAGTAATTTAATGGCCTGCTCTGGGTAGGGAAGACAACCTCATCTTTCATTTGACAGCACATCTCACTCTGGATGCAAACTGGTTCTGGTACAGCCCTGAGAGTTACTCTGCTGGGTGCAGGATCAAGTAGCAGCTGTTTTAACACTGGTCTGAAATTAAGCACATCCTTTTCCTTTCTTCGGTGTTTCCTGATGTTCCTCCCAATACTGAAGTTGGGTTGGAGGGGACTATATAGATTTGGACACCACCAACTCCTGCAGTTAGCTATTCTGTAAATAGCCACAAGCAGGACTTCTCTTCCTCCTACCAATCATGTGGTTGCTAGTTGTACAGTTATACTCACAAATCTAAGTATGGAAATACTACTCTAGGCCCAACTCAGATCCACTCTCCACTGATAGTTTAAAGCTATACACATAAATATTCTGACTTTATACATTTTTTCAGCAAAAAGTAGTGCTTTTGTCAAAGATTGGCACTATCAAAGCAGTGATTCATGCTGTTAGCTTTTATTTTAGAACAGACATGTGACTTTTTTGACTGAGTATATCTTCTAAATTGGTATGAAAAGCATTGAACAAATATAAAGGGTGTGGTAAAACCGAAGCTTTTTTAACTCTGCTTCTCTGAAAGAAACCTGTTTTAAAAGTGGCGGTTTGATTTTTGAGGGTAGCTGCTGTTTGTGGATCATTTGGGTGAATCTTCAGACTATCCTGCAGGTAACCTGCACTGCTTAAAACATTTCAGGTGTGACAGCTTGTTCATGTTGTTTAGTTTGGAGAACACCTTTCTTCTTGGTCAGGAATTGAAGGTGAAGATACTGAGAATTTTGCAAGTGATTCAACTTCTGCTCACTTACAGCTACAATTAGAAAGTTAAAGCAGAGCAAGAAACTTTCACCCCTTCTCTCATACCTTCACTCAAATTCAGTGTATATCATCTCATAGAAACTGCATCATGGTAAGAAAGGCTGTTGAAAAGAAAGTTCCTGTACTCAAATAATAATGGAATCATAGAATTTAGGGGTTGGAATGGACCTTACAGATCATCTAGTCCCAACCCCCTGCCCTGGGCAGGGACACCTCCCACCAGAGCAGGTTGCTCAAGGCTCATCCAACCTGGCTGTGAACACTGCCAGGGTTGAGGCAGCCACAGCCTCCCTGGGCAACCTGGGCCAGTGTCTCACCACCCTTAGAATAAAAAGCGTTTTTCTCATGTCTAACCTAGACTTCCCCTCCTTCAACTTGAACCCATTACCCCTTGTCCTTTCACTGCAGTTCCTAACACAGAGTCCCTCTCTGGCTCCTTGTAGCCCCTTCAGATATTGAAAAGTTGCTCTGAGGTCTCCACACAGCCTTCTCTTCTCCAGGCTGAACAGCCCCAACTCCCTCAGCCTGTCCTCATAGGGGAGATGCTCCAGTGCTCTTACAAACTTTGTGGCCTCCTCTGGCCTTGCTCCAACAGTTCCATGTCCTTCTTATGTTGAGGACACCAGAACTGCATGCAGTTAATTATAAGTACTAAACCTCAGATCCTTTAAAATCTACCACCTGGGGCTCAGGGCATATGGAATCTGTTGTAACAGTTTAAACCCTGAAATACAGGTAAGGGAATGTGTAGAATATAGGTGGAGAGTCTTAAGGATCACAAGTAGAAATCAGGTGCTTTGCCCTTTTGTGAGTACATTCTACAAATATTTTGTAAAAGCAGTATTGAGTGGTGGAATTGGATGCTAGGAGTTGCTTGCTCTCCTGTGACAGATGATCTTGGAACTTCAGGTATTGAGACCAGTACGTGGTACCCCAGTCAGTGGCTGGAAGCAACTGAGTCTGGAATAAAGGATGTGCAGCCACACATGTTCTAATAGCTTAGTATATTAACAATAGTAAACTTAAACAGGTTTTGAATTAAGGTGTTTGCTCTGATTAATCTTTGGTGGTGTTGTGGTTTGTTTTTTTTTTCTTGTTCAGGTGTGTAAACAGATTTGGCTAGGCCTGTTTGATGACAGATCATCAGCAATTCCAGACTTCAGGGATCCACAGAAAGTAAAGGAATTTCTACAGGAAAAATACGAGAAGAAAAGATGGTAAGATTGGCTCTGTGATGAGAAGTAAAATGGACTGTTGTCCTTTCATTTTTGAGTCTGCTTTCCTTCTTGTGTGCTCTTCAGACTAGTTTGCACAGCTCTGTAAAATGAAGTGATCTCTGAACTTTATTCAGAGCTCCTATAGGAAGCAGAGAAGACAAACTAAAGAAGCTTCTCAGTGTTCATATTGATGGAACAGAAGTGACTTAAGGGGATGTCAACATAGTAAAGTAACAGTTTTGCAGACTTACTGGGGTGGGAAGGCACATGTGGGTTGTATTTAATAAGTGCTAATAATATTTGTGACTTTAAATTCTAGTCCATTTAAAAAAAAACTATTTTGCAAATTACTGATGAATCTATTGCAGGCTCAGTGGTTCAAGTAGCAAAGCTGAGATCTACCACTTCTCACACTTGGATCTTATGCATGTTGAGCATAACATTTCACGTTAAACTTGTAAAAACCATTGCTCTTCTTGAATGTAGGTATGTTCCTCCAGAGCAAGCAAAGGTGGTGGCATCAGTCCATGCATCCATATCGGGGTCTTCTGCTAGTAGTACAAGCAGCACACCTGAGGTGAAGCCACTCAAATCTCTCTTGGGAGAAGCTGCACCCACACTGCACTTAAACAAGGGCACACCTAGCCAAGTGAGTAATGACAGAGCTAGAGAGCTCAGAGCTGTTCTGCACTACTTTTTCCTCTTCCAGTAGCACAAAAATTTTTACAATAGCAACTGTTATGATCTGTATAAACTAGTATGATCATATATAGATAAATTCATACATTTTGTTGAAGTGTACAGGTGTTTGGAGATCATGTCCTAAATGAAGTTTGTTTCTGTTGACCAAATTGATGTTTTTAATGGTCATTTTCAGTAAACGCTTTTCCAGTCTGATAAGTTTGGTTATACTTGTCTTTTGCTTAAATATCTCTCCAAGTTTGAACCTAATATATGATACATCCTCATGTTTGTTTGTTTGGTTTTTTTATTGGACGACAGTGTAATGACTGATCTGTTAACCATGAGATTAGTAGTGAGTGTGTGGATGAAAGCTTGCCATGGTTACTCTTCCTTCCTATGCATTCTGAAGCTGTCTGGAGTTGCTTCCAGGGAGTGTCTGTATGCCTTTATGTAAAACTGAACAACACCATGTACTTAACTTTTTGGAGGAAAGACAGTTTTTTTGAAAACTTTGCCTTCAAGATACAGACAACTGTTGCATGGACCTCTTGGGACTCAGTAGAAATTTGCAACTTGAAGCCTTGCTGTAAAATTCTTCCATTTTTCTTTCCCAATACCTAGTTCTAAAGTTTTTTTTTCAGAATGTAGTGAAAAACTGATTTGCATCGTGTAAAATCAAGTTTTATTGCTTGTGTTTGTACAGTATTTGCTGTTTTAAATACATAATTCTGCTGCTGCTAATATATTGCCCTATTAAACTATGGAAATTGCTGCAGACTTCCTTGAAAAGCTGCAGTAGTAGCATAAGTAGTGTTCCTCATACTATAGGAGGAGAGTCGGTGCTCCGTGCAGCATCTTAAACTTCAGGAATAAATGTCTTGTTAAACATTCTTAGCCTATGCTAATGTTTTGCAAATGTCAGTTTGGTAAAATATCAGTATTTCCTACTAGCTAACGAGAATGTTGTTTGTAGTCTCCTGTTGTAGTTCGATCTCAAGGACAGCAGCAACAAGAAAAGAAACAATTTGACCTCCTCAGTGACCTTGGCTCAGATATCTTTGCTGCTGCTCCTCCTCAGTCAACTGCTACAGCAAATTTTGCTAATTTTGCACACTTCAACAGTCACACAGGTAGGTATTCAGACCAGTGTGTCCCTTCTAAATGGAGTTTTAATTTGGATTGCTTTAGCCATGAGGTGTATGTAATCTTTGTGCCTTGAGAATGTTGTGTTGGTTGAGCTTTCGTTTAGGCCTTTATAAAGAAAGGTTGAAGAGACAAAGAATTATAATTCTGCTTTTTGAAGTGGGAGTTGCTACAGCTATTTTCTAGGATGTGTATGATTAGACTGTTTCTGCCTACTACTAAACTTTAAATTCTTTGGGGGGGAGAGAGTGAGAGGATGAGTAACAGAATGTAGGGAGAAGCTGATATTAGACCTTCAGTTTTCTTTCTGAAAACTGTTAGGAAGAGCATTCATGGAAAGCAGGCAGAGACTTTAAGGTAGTCCAGATGAATTGATGATAACTGCCAGTTTGTCAAATGAAAGACAAAAGCTTCCTCAGTTTAAAGAATGACCTCTTTTGTCTGTGTGTCTGTTTGAAAACCGAGTCCTACCCATGTGGATAGTTTTCTGTAGTTTCAGGAAGAATAAACAAGCCTTGAGCATATGTATTGACTGAGGAGGGGGGAGGCCTTGAATTCTTAGGGAATGACTTCAGTGAAATACATTGAGCCCTCAGGGTGGGGGGTTTTTTTCAGCCAAAGATCTAGAGCCATAGAATTCTGTTCTAAAGAAGAAGTCAATTTTGTGGTCAATGAAGTTTGTGGCTAACTTGCATTGTAATTGTGGGAAAGTACCTTTGCCTGCCTGGTCTGAATGGGCTTTTCATCTAGTTTTTCTGAGAGAAACTGTGATGCTGCTAAGCCACCAAGAAGAAGATATATTTCTTGAAAATCAGTCCTGAAGCTGCTAACAGCTGAGGGGCAGTGTGATGGAGAGGAACTGGGCAAAAATCAAGGGTTTCTCAAAGTTCACTTTGAAAACCAAATGCTGTGAAATAATTGGCTGAATTCAGTAACACTGAACAGCATTTTGATTGTGTATTTTGTCAAATCTTGAAGACCGTATTTCATGTTAATCACCTTTTTGGAGGTGTATTTAACTAGGAGAACTTGTGCTGACTGACCAATGTCACAGAGTGTTACTGAAGAGGCTGCAGATCATTCTTTCTAATAACCTCCTCTTTCCAAACGTGTTGCTGAATGATTCTTTATGTACAGACACTTAATTACACTTCATGGTTTTTAGGAGATGCAAATTCCATTAAAGAAGTATTTCAGTACTGTGTTCTCGATCTAGGTAAAATATCTCTGCTGGGTAATTTTTAAAAGGATGAAAACTGTATCAACACTCCAGAATAAATATAATCTCAG